AATATAAAGTAGTTAATTAAAAAGTAATTATTGGTTTGTATCATATGGTTTGACTCAAGGAATGAATTTTTAATTACTGTGTTAGCAAAACAAGGATTTTTAGGTAGAAGCATCACTTGGCAAAATTTACATAAATGAGATAAAAATCAGAGCTAATATTTAGTAATCAAAGTGCTTATAAGTATAGGCCCTCCCACTGAGCTTTCTGAATTTGCATTGTGTTTACATTTTAGCTCAGGGGATCATTTCCTCCCCCACAAATTGTACATTGGTAAGGAATCAGTGTGTAGTGTGCAAAAACCTTAGTACCCAGAGCTCAGTGTTTATAGAATGGAGGCAGTCTTGTGCCTTGTAGTACTGTCAGCCGCCTCATAGGTGACCCAAGGAGCAGTCATTCAGGTTTGTGACCTGGGATTAGGTAAAATTGGACAAGTAAACAGTTACTGTGGAATAAGATTTGAGCTATGAATTCTTGATTATAGAAATAGCCTTTCATCAGTTAACTTGCTGATCAGTCTTGAGGTTCTTTCTTTCTTTTGTTCCTTCATTTATAAAAAAGAGAAATAGTCCATGTCAGCTGGCTGCTTTATATCTTAAAAGCTATGAATTTTTTTAAAAATTGTTTTAGGCCCTGAAATTGAATTATTTAGCCTCTTTGTATTTGATCTAATACCTGAAGTGTTACATATTTATCTCAATAGTTCTTTCTTTTTTGTAGGAAGATGAAGATCCTAGCAAAGGTGATCAGGGTCGGTCAGTGGACCCTGGTGAGGATAATGTCACCGAGCAGACCAATCACATTATTATTCCCAGCTACGCCTCCTGGTTTGATTATAACTGGTGAGTGGGCTGCTTCCCCTGCCCCCCAAAGCATGGAATTGAGTCCAGTGCCCTTTATTTTTTATTTATTTATTTATTTATTTGTAAAATTGTACTTATTTTTTTGTTTTATTTTATTTTTTTTTTTTTTTGTGGCTGGCTCAGCCCATGCTGGGAGTGGGGCTGGTGTGGCATGTGGTACCAGGGATTGAACCATGGTCCCTAGGCTTGCCTAAGCTTGCCTAAGTAGGTGCTTTAGACCACTGAGCTATCCCGCTGGCTCCTCCAGTGCCCTTTAAATCAGCTTGTATCACTCTGCCCCAGTCATGTGTCCAGTGGAAGTGATTTGTGTCTTTGGAATATGTTCTCTAAAACGGTTTAAGGATGAAAATTGTAATTCAAGGTTGAATGTTTTTCAGATCTTTAACTTAAATCATTTAGATTTTAGCTAAACGAGACAGGCAAATGCTTGCATAGTTAATAAAATCTTGATGTTTATTGTGTGATTTTATAATGTTAAGTGTGTTAACTGAAAAATCATTCTCTACCCAGTAATTCCCATCCTTCCTTTATCCTTCCCTATTTATTTTGAGACAGTTTCTCTCAGTATAGTTCAGACTAACCTCAAACTCATTTATTTATCCCATGCTGGCTTCAAACTTGAGTTCCTTCTGCTGCAACCTCCTGAGCACTGGCATTACAGGGATCTGTATGCCTCCACGTGTAGCTATAACTATATTTTAAGCAGTAACGTTTTGCCCTTAGAGATTTCATATACAAACTTTCATATGTTAAAAAAAAAAAATCAGGAAAACAGACCTTAGATCTCTGTCATTCACAGCAATCATTGTAACATCCTTGGAGAATGGTTTGAAAGAACAGATCTTGAACTCTGTTTACTAAATACTTACCAATTATGTCTATTTTCAAGATTTTTTAAGAATGCAGTTAGCAAATCTTGCCTCCCCTTCCCATTTTCTTTTTTTTTTTTAATTTTTTAATTTTAGAGAAGGGTTTACAGGGTGTTCAGGGTCTCACTACAATTTAGATCTGCCTGTTTACAGCCTTCCAAAAGCTGGGATTATGTGTATGTGCCACCGCGCCCAGTCTCAGTTGCCATCTCAGCACACCCCGGGGGTGGGACAAGCAAGGCAGGCCCAGGAATCAAACCCCAGACCCCTTTGATTGGCTGAGCTATTTGGCTGGCCCCCTTCCCGTATTGATACTAGCTTTTTCAGTGTAATTTCGTGGGATCGGGAAGATAGCTCAGTGGAATAAGCACTTCCTTGGCAAGTGCAAGGGCCTGAGTTCAGTCCTCGGTTCCACCAAAAACAAAAACAAACCCCAGAATTTTGGGGGCCTGCCCCTTACTGCAGTTATTTAAGTGGCTGCTTCAACAAAGCAGTCAGGCTCAGGTTGCTGTGGTTTGATCCCCAGAATTCAAGCCAGCCAGCCCTGAAGGCATTCTGAGCCAGCAGGGAAAAAAACAAATCCTTCAGTGTAATTTCGTGAAGAATCTATACTTTTGGTGATATTGCTGTTATTCAACTCCTGGGGTTGTTTTATCCTGCTCTTAATGACTACTCTGCTACTCTTTAATGATAAGTGCTATTTTTAACATCTGTAGTCTCTAGAAGTCTTTTGAAAATATTTTTTATTTTGCTGGGTATCAATCCCAGGACATTAGGCTGGCTAGACATTCTCCTGTTAAGCTACCCTTTGTAGAATTCTTTACCAGACAATTTAAAATAATATAGTAGGGACTGGAGAGGTGGCTCAGTGGTCTAAAGCACCTACTTGGAACAAGCTTGGCAAAGCACAGGGACCCCGGTTCCATCCCCCAGCACCACATACCAG